CAGAGGCGCGGGGAAACCGCCGCTGCTGCCGCTTCAGTCAAAGCCTCAGAAGCGCGGGAACCCGCCCGGTGCCCCTGGTCTGCTGGAGACGGTCTCCAGCAGACCAGGGGCACCGGAGCAGCTTACGAACGGGGCTCTCTCGCCCCGACTTCCGGGGCGAGAAAGCTCCGTTCGTAAGTGCGGATCCGACATAAGTTGGATCCGCGTAAGTCGGGGACTGCCTGTACACAGATTTCATATGTATTGTACATATGAAACTGCAGTACTTAGCTACATAACATACTGAAAACACAATGGAACTAAACATTCATGCTTGTAACAGTTGTTAGATTCTCAAATCATAATTCTTGTTTATATGCTGGTGTAACCCTTCTGACCCTTCTTACACTGGACAGAAGTTACCTTCTAATTTTTAATCTGTTTCTTTTTGGTTTGCAACTGTTCAATACTTTGGTATTATTCCTCATCTTATCCTGAATAGGAGTTAACATCTATGCTAACAAGTGTGTTACTGGTAGAATTCTTGGGTAGATTTTGCCTCCCACAAAAAAAAAAAAAAACCCACACACACACTGGAAGTGGGATATCTAGAAACACAAAAAAGAGATTTCTGATATTAGCCATCCTGTTGAGAACTCCAGTTTGGTCAAAAATAGGTGTAGGATAACTATTGCTAAGGTAGACCTGTTCATGTGTGCAAATTAACGGCCTGTGAAACCAAAGCTTTTGAATTTTCACTTTTGCCAGCCACGTTTGTCACTTTTGTCCTTGACAGCAGGGAGGCTGTGAGTGGAATATTTACTATGGACATTTGGCATTATCCTCCTGGCTTGTGTCTGATTTGAAAACGAGCAAGTACAGACAGCATGGGTTTCCTTTAAAAAGCATGTTTCGAGTAATTGTAAACAGGCTTCTTAGCCTGTGAACACACATAGGATTACAATATATAAGCCCATATGCAATGCATCAGGTGGCTAAAGTCTGAAAGAGTATAATTACTTTGGCATTATTGAATAGCATCAAGTACATGTCTGCTGTTTTGCAACAGGCTGATGCCAAAAGGAAAAAATGTTGGCTCTTTTGGCTGGGCTCCCTCAAGGTAGAATGCAACAAGAATTCTTCAACAGTAGCACAATGAGCCACCCTCCTTCAGTATCAGTCCCCCAAAAGTTATGTCAAAGCATACATCAATATTCAGTTTCATTTACCAAAATTCTGAGAATTATGCAGACTGCAGTAAGTGATACTCTAGGATTCACACCCTGTTCAAATCCCTGCCCAAATTTTATTGCACAGTGCAATTTTTAAAAATATTTAGTACAAAAAACGGCGAAAGAGTGGCTCACACTCTTTGCATTTGAGCTTGCACTTACATTGTGCGTTCTAGAGATTGACTTGTTCAAACATGGAATCTCAACAATCCTTAGCGCCTTGGCTCAGCATTACCTCATGTATAGGAGACAATTGGGTTTGGAAATTGCCTAGCTCACTGGTGGATTATATTAAATGGTACAGCTGCAGTTACATCAAGGGCACACGGAGCAGGTAGACAGAACTGCTAGAGTGACAACAAATACTCCCCACTACAATCACAATAGTTGGGAGGCATTTAAATAGGAGAGCTCCCCTCCTTTCCAGCCTGTAAAAAAAAAAACCTGCTGATTAGTCATTGGAATTTTATTTTTGCATGTGTTTCACTCAGTTTGGACTGCCACAGGATCTGAGCTTGTCACCCTTGCAGGATCAACTTGCACTTTTTTCCCCCCCACAGTCTGTGCATGCTCCTGTCTCCAACATGCACTAGTTGAGTTGGTTGAAAAATAGAAATGTGTTTTGCAACAGGCTGAAAAAACACCCCAGCAGTCTAGACAGATATTTTGAGGTTTACAGGACCTTTCGAAAAGGTTTATTTTTTCCCCCGGAAGAGCCACATCTAGACTGCCGTTTTTTCTGAAAAAGCTCAGTTTTGAAAAAAGCAGCGGCCATGTTTATGCTAATGAAGTGTGGGATATTTAAATCCCCGCTTCATTAGCAATTTCGATGTACAGGCAGTCCGAGTTACGCGGATCCGACTTATGTCGGATCCACAGTTACGAACGGGGCCCTCTCCCTGGTCTCCAGCAGACCAGGGAGAGGAAGCAAAGCGGTGGAACACGCGAGCAGCGGACAGCCCAGACGAGTCTGGGCTGTCTGCTGCCCTCGGGCTCCGCGGCTTTGCTCTGCTTTGCTCCCAGTCCCCCTGGTCTGCAGACCAGGGAGTCGGGGAGCAAAGCAGAGCAAAGCCGCAGAGCCCGAGGGCAGCAGGACAGCCACGGCGCGTCTGGGCTGTCCCCGTGCTCCGCGGCTTTGTTCCGGACGCCTGTGGTACAGCAGCTGGGGCGCTGCCGGTTGGTCTCGTAGCGCCGCTCTGGGCGCTACTGGACCAACCCGGCAGCACCCCAGCTGCTCTGCCCCAGGCGTCCCCAAGTCAGCCGCTGCTGAAACTGACCAGTGGCTGACTACAGGAAGCCCCTGCCCCGGGCTTCCTGGAATCAGCCGCTGATCAGTTTCAGCAGCAGCTGACTTGGGGATGCCTGGGGTTCTTAAGGATTCAGCCGCTGTTGAAACTGATCAGTTTCAGCAGCGGCTGAATCTGGACGCCAGTTCCGACTTACATACAGATTCAACTTAAGAACAAACCTTCAGTCCCTATCTTTTACGTAACCCGGGGACTGCCTGTACTTAATCTACACCTCTCTGTAGACAGAAAGGTGTAGTCTAGACACAGCCTAGGTGAATACATTGGGTCAAAAATAATCCTTACGTCTCAGTATGTCACCTGCAACATGTTGGCAGAGTTTAGTGCAGTTGAGTGATCCTGATCCAAACCTAGACAGCTAAAAGTCTATTTTCCTTGGTTGTGCAAGTCTCTAGCCAGCTAGTGTTTTCTTACAGATTTTATATTATAGCCTATTCTATTAACAGCAGGCAATCCCATCAGAGCAGTTATAGTTTCTTGGCTCCAAAGAAACCATTATGTAAGTGAAGCTGAACGTGTGTTTTTATTTGTACAAGATGATGTATCATTAGTTGGATTTTGGCATCTATGTAGCCTTCATCCAAATATCACCTTAAAAAGGGTTCTAGGTACAGCCACATCTGCACAGTAGAGATGTGGAATGAAGCCATTTGTTTCCTTAAAACCCCCCACTACTATAAAAAGTGCCTACTAAACAGAAGAATTATTGCCTCACACTTAGGTAATCATTTAAATGAAAAAAAGCCACCACAAAAAAACCACACCCCCTTCTGTAGCTGCTCTGGAGAACTACCTGGGGACAAAGTGAGACATTTAATCCTCTCAGTCATGAACCCCCATAAAAAACTTACAGCATTCTCTGAAGTGATTTATATGGACCAGCTGGTCATGACTTCACAGGGGTATTTGCCATTTGGAGATAGCTAAGTCATAGGGATGTCCCGATTATACCCTCTCCCCATACCCATCAGGAACTGTAGCCAGCAGCAGCAGAGCCTAGACATGATGAACAAGTATGGATATTTCTCAGAAAATACTTGCCATGACTAACACTCTTCCCCATTTCAAGCTGCTCCCATGAGGGGGAATATTTCATATGAATGTTGTGACCCTAAGTTTCCCTTATGTGCTGCATAGTGAGCTAGGGTGTGTGTGGTGTGGTGTGGTGGGATTTAGATCTTTGCAGAGACTCAGATGGGACTGACTCCTTGCTGTATGGGGCCTGGCCATGTGGTACCTAGCAACTAGTGACCGGAGGGGCCGCCCTCTGCAGGAAGCCAGGTAACTGATCAGCTGGAGAACAAAGTGATAATGTTTGCCCAGAACAAGAACAAATTGTAAAGGAAGATTAATCCCAAGAGGCTTTGTGGGGCTGTTGGAAGGAGGAGAGCCTTCTGGGGTGGAACTACAAAGGGGTTGGAGGGCAGCTCTGGGATGGATTTTGCAGTAACAGTCCATTCTCCACTTTAACCCGAGAGGTCTAGAACACAGCCTAACCACCCCTTCTGGTTTTAGAATGCTGGCCAAGTCACTCCAGAGCCAAGCAGTCAGGGGTTCATTATTCCCTTAGGAAAAATGTGTACAACCAAAGGGTCCAGTTCAGGTTCACTCACTGAAGGGAGCTGATGGCTCCAAAGTTCAGGCCCAAGGGACTTACCCAATGAGAATGTGACCCAATGAGAATGTGACCCTAAAAGGGTCAGTGTACTAAAGGGGTCCTCCTAGGAACTGTTGCAGAGCTGTTTGAGGGCATGGATTTGTGGATCCGAGATACTCCCTTTGCCTTTGTTTCCAGCAGAAGAGGGTGGGGCTTGGAGACATTTTGACTAGTATTGAATAAAGTTAGAACAGCGTAAAGAATGACTGCAGTTCTTCATCGTAGGCTTGTATGTCAAAAGGTGTCTGGATAGAATCAATGGTAGCTCAACACACTGGGCCACTGACAATGTTCCCTCTAAGTTTTTCCATCTATGTGCAGAATAAATGGTGTTATATGCACCAAGACATGTGCATATGTGCACCACCAAACATGTTGCTGGCTATAGTCAGCTGTAAGCACTCTGCCAATCATCTGGGCAGCACCTGAATCTCTCCTGGGCAGCTGCAGGGAGACTGGCCACTGACAGTTTGCACAAAGTCTGGCTAGAGAGACAAGTCCACTCCTGAATATATATTTTTTTAATTCTGAATTTGTATCCTTTCAATTGTTACTTTCATTAGCTGCACTGTGGCAGATTTAGGAGGATTTGGGGGGAAAAAAGGACATGATTGTTATCCTGTGGTCACTTCAGCACCCTTCTGAGAATGGTTGAGTGGCACAAAGCAAAGTTGGAGCAAATGTCATGAACACAACATACCAGACTGGTGTTTGAGGAACACACTAACTATTATAAATTGTAAGCACACAGGGATAAACACTTGACATTATAAGCCTAGCTACTATGCCTGAGAACTTCGAAGAGTTGAAGAACCCAGAGAAGCAAACGAAGGGGAAGTCTAGCAGTATTTAACTGTGAAGTGTTTATATCATTTGGCTTATGTTTCAGACCCTCTTACTGGTAGTATTGATTCTGGTCTAAGAAAGGACAAGAGGAGGATGGTTTTAAGCTTGGTTTTCCCCCTGCCTTGATCCTAGAACTACAGAGTTCTATAGGATGCCAGAATAGAAGGGATATTATCTGCTAGTTTGTATCTTCTGGGTCATTCTTCATTCGCTAAAAGCCAATCCCTACTTCTGGAGAGGGTTCTAGTGAAGCAATTTTTTGCTAAAAATCCCTTTCCCTCTCCACTATGCCACCAACACACCTTGGAGGCAGTTCCCAAATATGGGGGCTTCCCCTAGAACCCATAATGAGCCTATTAATACTAGTGTTATAATAATTCTCCAATCTTAGTACAGTGGGCACTAGGACAATGGGGGGGGAGGGGGGGAAGAAGAGAAGAAGAGAGAGAAAGACAGACCGACCAACCTAAAAGGTGGAGGAGGATGACATACACCTTGCTGGTAGGGTGAACAGGACATCAGTCTGCAAGTATCATGTTAAGTCCGCAATTTTTATTTATTTCTTTAATTTTTGGATGGGGTTGGAGGAGAAGATCAGCTAACCAGAAAGAAGGAGAGAAGAGAAGAGGAGAACAGGTCAAGGGTTACCTCTACAGTGTGCAGTTAACCTGGCTGATTGGCACCCAAGTCTGAGCACTTGGGTTTGCTTATACAGAAGTAGACTTTCAAAGCACAAGACCTTATCATGGTGTCCTCACTGTTTTTGTTCTTACACACGTGTGTCTGGGGGAATTTTCCATGGTTCTTTATGCTTAGATACTCAAAGGATTCTTCTCTAGTCAGTTGTGTCAATTGTGGAGGATCATACCTGTGTCTCAGGAAGACTTGGAGGATGAACACTCAAGTGATCTTGTCTGTATCTTCACTGCAAAGTGGGCAGGTTCCAGTCTGAGCTTGAAACCACACAGCTTTAACCCATAACCCCAGATGTACATGCTAACACAGGTTCAAAGCAAAGAAGAGGCACACGCTGAAGGGTTACCACAAAAGTCATATGTAGGTGCATGAGCTAAGGCTACAGTGTCAATGTATCATAAGACCAGAAGGCCTTTGCCCCCCCCCCCCCCACCACTGTCTTCCCCAGCTCTGAGTATGCACAGACTGCAGTTCCACTTCTCCTCCAACATAATCATTTATCAGTTTGCACTTATGCTGAGAGCCAGTGAAGTTCGATTATAGGGAAAACCCACAAGGGAGACATTTATAGGAGAACCCTCCAGCAGAAGATAAATTACCTCCAAGAATGTGGCTCAAAGCCTGTACACATCCCTCGGCATCTTAGGCAAGGCACACCTCTTCCTGATTGCTGCTGGCTTACAGACATCTGGAAGAGAAAAAAGTTTTGAGTGTGTGTATATATATATATATATATCTTGGCCCCAAGTCCTTTCATTGTGTGTTGCTTCTTAAGCATGTTGACTCCTTTACAACTATGCCTTTTGTGGTTTGAGGACTCCACATCAATAAATCATTGGGTAACTGACTACACACAGTTCAGCAAGACAGCTGAAAATGTTCTGGCTTTGAATGTAGATGAAAAGGGAAGGAGAACGCTGATGGACTATCAGGGTGCTAGCTCCCAATAATTCTACCATCCATTATAAAACCACTGAAATAAAACCTCTAGGGGCTAATAAGTTAGTCCCACCAATCAGTACAATTGGAAACTTCTTATCAAAGCTAAATTTCAGACCCCTTTCCTTCTAGCCCATTCATTTAATAGACATGCGCTGCATTTTAGCCACAATCTAAACAGATGTTTTGAGACTGTGGTTAGGAGTATGTTTTATATTTAGTTTTAGCTCAGGATATTGAATTACCACTTATATTTTCCATTTAGGAGGTTGCTTGAGATGCATCTATTAATGTGAGAAGAAATGATCTCCTATGGTGTCTTGCTGAGAGGTGATCAATGAACTAAGTCTCAAACTTACAACAACTTGGTATGTACATTGTATACATACCAACTCCAGACTATTGAGTAAGAATGACTGAACTCTTCAGTGTTTTTATATTAATCTAAGGGGGGGGGGGGGCTCTTCAATCTAGCAGAGAAAGGCGTAGTGTGAGCTAATGGTGGAGTTGATCTTGACAGTCAGACTAGAAAGACGACCTCTTTTAAAAAAGGTAATTAACCACTGGAACAGTTTGCCAAGGGTCATGGTGGAGTCTCCATCACTGAATTTTAAAAAGGGGAGATTGGATAGGTTTTGCAAGACACCTGCTGTAGGAATAATTAGGGGCAGTTCTATGAACTGTGCTACTCAAGAGCTCAGATTAGATGATCACAGTGCTCCTTTCTGGCTTTTGAGTCTATGAATCTGAGTTTCATGGGCTGCAAATACAAAGAGAAGGGTTGGAACGTTATCAAACTTTATTTACAAGTTTGATACTTATCAGCGTCTTGTGAATTGGATTGTTCAAGTTACAATTCCCCTCCTCTGCCTTCCTCTATTTTTGGATCTGGACTTCTAATACTCCCGTCATTTGACTAAGTGGGTTGTGCCCATGAAAGCTATACCATGTACATGTTGTTAGTCTTTAAGATGCTGCTAGACTATTGCTTGTTTAAGTTTTTCCAGTTACGGACTAACTCAGCTACCTCTGAAGCTTAAGTTTATATATTTAAAAAAAACACACACACCCACCCACGTGCCGACAGTGTCTATGTACATTGGATAAACGTCTCAGATGCTTCAAAGAATCAATGCACACAACATTGATCTGAGGAAGTGGGTCTGGCCCACGAAAGCTCATTATCTAATAAACCATCTTGTTAGTCTTTAAAGTGCTACATTGTCCTGCATTTTGCTTCAACTACCCCAGACTAACACGGCTACATTTCTATCACTATTCTGCACACAACACAGATAGACATTATCAAAAATATAAAAAAGGTATTGTCTCAATGACTTATTACCCGCATACTGCTTCAAAGACGTTTTCACACCAGACTTGAAAGAGAAACTGCTGAACTGTCATTCATGCTTAAATTTGACACTTTAGCATCTGTTAAGACTCCCCCCCCCCTGCATAATTACCTTACCTATTACAAAGATAGCTTCACCAATTATCACCTCTAATATCATTAGCTCACAGACATTTACCTCCTCCCCCCTCCCCCACATCCCCCTTCTGTTCTGAAATTTGATTTGTCCTTTTCATATCCTCCCTCGGTTCTGAAATTTGATTTGTCCTTTTTATATGCGTTCACTTTTTTGATTGTATCCCTTTGGTATATATGGTCATGCCTATTTTCTTCCACAATTTGATCTGAGGAAGTGGGTCTGGCCCATGAAAGCTCATCACCCAATAAGCCATCTTGTTAGTTCTGTCTTTTGTTTTGGCTTTTGCCATGAGAGAAACTGCCAGGAAGAAGGGACTGAGTGAGAGGCATTATTTACATATAAATTTCCCACCTATGTGTTAATTGTGCGTAAGGACACAGACACCAGCACAATTTAAAAAACCCACGAATCAATGATCAGCCGTTAAAAAGCTAAACTGCCCACTTAAACAGACCAGATTTTAAGGGAAATCCCCCCCCCAGCACCTCATGGGGGGCTCTCCCCCTCCATTTGCTGCCTCCTCACCCCACCATGTAGAGGCTGCACCATTGTAGTTGTTCAGAGAAACTGCAAAGAAGAAACCACACACTCTTCACCATGCTCCTCCTACAAGTCTAAATCGGTGGCTTTTAATGTATTGAAGTTACAACAGCTTGCCTTTCATTTGGTATTATAGTCAGACAGAACATCCTCTCAAAGCAAGAGAGATGAAGAGGAGCTAAGGGTCATTACTTTATGGGACTATTCTCAGGTCATGCAAGTTTAAGGGTTTCTCTGGGAAGCTATTCCTGATTATCTGCATATGTAGACACTTATTCCAGAATCAGAATGCTTTATTCTGAATTAGTTTATACCAATTTATCTTCGTTCACCTTGCAACCCCCTCCAAAAAGCCTCCTTTTTGGGTCAGGACATCTGCAATCACAACACTAAAAATTTAAGAAAATAAATGAAAATTGTACAATTTTCAAAGTCCTATGACATGAAATAGACCCAAAAAGGACCATGAATTTGGCAGGTCCTTATATACATTGGGGTAACATACTACAGTTAACATTTTATTGATAAACAGTGTATCCAAACCCTTATCCCCAACCTCTGCATTATCAGAATCCCTTCTTTATCCCTGATGGGTATGTATACACTGCAATTAAACCCATAACTGGCCTATGCCCAGTAATGATTTGCAAACCCCAAGTCCTGGAGTTGTTTAATTGCAGTGTAGCTATTCAGGCTCAACCTGAACTCTAGGACCCTATGAAGCAAGAGGACCCCATAATTTCAGTTCCAGCTGCAACCCAAACTCCACACCACAATTTAACAATCCAGCCACGAGTCAGTTTGCAGAGAGCAGCCAGGGGTGTCTAAATGCAGTGTAAACATGCCCTTCAGCACAAGGCACAGAGGGTACAAAGCAATTTAGATAAGGATATTTGGATAACAGAGCAGAGACCCCCACACAGGATGCAAGGAAGGACAGTGACAAGCCTTGAGGCACAGGGGAGGCCACCTTGCTGCAGAGTGGCTTCTGTCCTCAAATTATCTGAACAAAATCCATGGCTCCCATGCTATTCAGATAGCTGGGAGCGGGCTTCCTTGTTCACCCTACAGAGACTCAAATGTATTTGAGAGTATGGCACGTCTCCATCTGTCATGTTATGTTTGCAGATGGTTTCCATGGTGAAGGGGAAACATGGTGGGGAAATAGATAAATGCCCAAGTGAGGAAGAGAAAAAAATATCTGATTACACTTTATGCTATTCATTCAAGATAGATGGCAGACTACGTTTATAACGTGTACACACGGCAGATTAGATGCGACTTTCTGAATTTAGAGAATGTGAAATGTCTGACAAGAACCAAGACTGAAGTAAGTTTCAAGGGGAAAAACCCACTATGGAGAAGTGATTGTGGCATCCTGAATTTCAGCCTGTCGTTATCGCTAGACCTTAATTGGGCTAAAGACTCAGACTGAGAGAATTCAAGTTATCCCCCCCCTCCCCACACAAAATTTTGCCAACTAATAGGATTTGAAAAAAGTCAAGTCAAGCCCTACCCCAGACTCCCAATTAAAAAAAATTATAATCAAGACTGATCAAAATATGATTTACTCTTAGACTTTGTAGCCTTCCCTCACTCCATGTGAGAATTCAGATGTTGCCAACTCATTAAGTTTAGAGTAAAGAATTTTGGCCTCGTGGGATTTTCCACTCGAGGACACAATGGAGATCAGGGACCCACTGCCATAGGATTGGCCTCTATCCCAAAAAGCTCATGCTGCCATGCTTTGCAGTAGAGGGAGGTTGTGACATGGGAACTGGGTTTAAGTTAATCTCATAAAAGATCTAAGCATCCTTTGGAAGGTAGTCATATTTAGCCTCTGTGAGCAACATAGGATTTAGATTACAGGTTCAACTTCCCTGGTCTGGCACCCTCAGGACCTGAGCAGTCCTAAAGCAGGGAGCTGATTAGACCAGGGAAAGTCAATGCTCCCCTCCTGGCCCTGCTTCCGAACTCCTCTCCGAGCTCTAGGGATCCCAAGGCTGGGGCTCTCTGCCTAGCCACTGGCAGCCACACCTGGCCATCCAAAGGGGAGGTGGGAGGATGGTGATCCTCAGCCCTGCCCAGCCACCACTGGCTCTGACTACTCCCTCCCCTGCAGGACTCGCAGCTGCCTCCTGTGCTTCACCTCTGGCACTTTTTGGTCCAGCACCATCCATGGTCCAGCACAGCCCCAGCTTTGAGAGGTTCAACTGGTAGTGACTTTCACTTGTGTTAATGCCTCATTAGAAATACCCCAACATATCAAGTCTCTTGTAAGTGCCAGTGCTGTCTGGCTTTCTGGAGAGAGGCGTACTAAATCAAGTTCTGACCTTTCTGGAGTTTAGGCAGACTGGGTTTTTCTTCTTCCAGACAGACAAAGCATCACACATGGCTCTCCATATTAACAATATCCTTTGTTCTTAAAGAGACAGCTCCCATTGGTAGCTCAACATCCATTATTCCCTTCTAAATTGTTAAAACTACTTCAGGATCCATTTATACACAAATACGCAAGCCATTAAAAGAGCACAAAGGCTGCAAAGATGAAGCGGTCTCCCCTGCACACAGCCTCAGAGAGATCACAGGAGACAGGCTCCCTGCTCAGTTCAATTGCAATTCTGGCCTGGGCACCTGCAGAGGAAGCCCTGTTCCACCCCACGCTGCAGCATCCCTATTGTGCAAAGAATCTTCAGGGAAGATAAAGGATCTATTA